TGGAGGGACGTGGGACCCCAGGAGACCTGAGAGGCAGCTGCTGTGGTCCAGAGAGGAGCCGCTGGTGGCTTAGATGTCAGGACAGCAGGGGACGCGCAGGTGTGTGGCCTGGATGGGTGTCAGGGTGGATGAGGCGAGGGCCGTGTCAGGCGTGAAGATGCCCGGGCTGAAGCACAGAGAGGTTTGGTAAAGGACCCACAGTTGCACAGCCTGTGGGCTGGAGCAGGACCCAGTCCCAGGCCAGGAGGGGCGGCAAGGCCTGCTGGTGCCCGTGAGCGGGGGCAGGAGGCGGGTGGATCCTGGGGGGTGGCGGTGTCTTTGTGCTTCATTCTGGGGCTCTCTTGGTGCCAGGCTTCGTGGAGACTGATCAGGTGTCTGCCGGCTGAGGGGACAGCCATTCTGTGCAGCTGCAGGACCGTGGGGCCGGGGCGGGCGGCTGGAGGGACGGGGAGGAGGTGTGGACGCAGCAAGGCCAGTGGGCAGCCCGGTGTGGCTGCCCTGGAGGTGCCCGTGGGGGAGGTGCTGAGGACCCAGGTGGCAGCCAGCTGCAGCCCCCTGCCCACCCCAGTCCCCCCCCCCGTACAGGGCAGGTTGTTCAGAGGGTGGCCGGCACAGGACACAGCGCGAGACTGGGCTGGCCTCGCTGCGACTGGGTGGCCACGAGAGTCTGCCCTGGTGGCCGTGGGTCCCTTGGCCTCTCTGATTTGCATGTGTCCATCTGCCAAGCCAGTGTAGCCCAGAGACACTGGTGTCAGGTGACAAGGTGGCACGGAGCCCACGGCCCAGGCCTCCAGGTCGAGTGGAGGCCGCTGGGGAGGAGGAGGAGGAGGAGGAACCCCGGAAACCACAGGCGGATTCTCCTGGGAAATGGGGACAGGGGTCATGTGAGTCCAAGAAAGATGCACAGAGACCGAGGGGACAGAGACGGGCAGGGTCACCTCGACCGGCCGTGTCTGGAGACTGTGCTTTGCCTGATTTTCACCAGGTAACCACGCAGGAGGCCCAGAGAGGGTGAAGTCTCAACTCAAGGTCACACAGCAGCTGGCACGGGAGCAGTTAGACCTGCCAGCTCCGGGGTCTGGCGCTGCCCCCTCTGTGAAGCAGGAATGTGGTCGTTGATCAGGGGAGTTTAATAAGGAGTGTCTTTGATGTAGGCAGCAGGCCCGCGGTAATGAGGGCCCTGGATTAATTTGGAAGTTAATGAATCCGCAGGTGTGTCTGAATGATTAATGGCCCCCAGGCCCTGGAGGGGCGAGCTGCCGGGATGGAATATGGACACTGCATTCCCATGAGAGTCGGACGAGTGGGAGGAGCAGGTGGCCTGGCCGGGAGCACAGGGTCCAGACGCTGGACACCCACAGACGTTGCCTGTGGGTGGAGTGGGGCCGGTCACTTCACCTGTGCGTCCCTCTCCCCATCCGCAGGTCGGGTCTGCAGACCACAGCCAGCTCCCCGGAGCTGAGGACGGAGGGGGCCAGCCCTTCACGCAGGGTGGGCTCAGGGTGCGCCTCTCAGGAAGGCCGCGGCGGCCCTTTTAGAAAAGAGGGTGGGGTCAGGATCGAGGGCCGGGAAAGCTCAGGGGCAGAAAGGAACGCCCGTGACCGTGGACGGCGCTCTCCAGTGGACGCGGTCTCTCCCAGGCCCTTGGCTCCGAGCAGCAGTGGCCTGAGGCGAAGGGGATGGGTCCTGGGGCTCTGAGAGGCCGGACACGCCCAGGCCACCAGGTCACCAGAGCCAGGTCTGCACCTGCCCTGGGGTGGAGGCCACGGCGCTGGCCCTCCCCTGTGCCCAGGCGCGCCCACGTCGTTCCTGTGGTGATGCTGAGAATGGGGTCATCTCCCCGCCCTGGACGGGGGAGCCGTGGGGTCGGGCCGCTCTAGCTGTGACCCTCGTCCTCCCCAGGTGTGGGCCTGTGGGAGCTGTGCGGGGCCTGGCGGGTCAGGGCTCCTTGCTGGCCACTGACGGCCCTCCCTCCGGGGCTCTGGTGGGGCCTGGTCTCCGGGTGGGTGGCACTGCCCGCCGGTCCTGCCCTCCACGAAGCCCTGCTCCAGCACACACAGATGTGAGGTCAGCAGCTGGTCCTCACGCTGGGCTGGGGGCCGGCACAGTGGGGCAGGCCTGCAGCGCTGGCTCACGTCCTGTCGCCCAGAGCCCTCTCCGAGGCCGGCCTGCTGGCCTCCAGCTCTCAGCTCCAGGGGGTGAAGAAGCGGGTGCTGGTGGCTTCCGGCCCACGGCTCTGGCCAGTGAGCAGGCCGCGGCCAGGTCCCACCCTCACCGGCCCCGGGAGAGCCAGGGAGATCCCTCTTCTCTTGTCCTGGCCAGGTCCCTGGCCTGGGCCCCGATGGCCTCCCACGTGCCATCTGCGGGGCCCGGAGCGCTGCGTCGTCTGGCGAACCATCTCAGCCGTCGCGGTCGGGACACAGAGGGCCCGAGGGGGGGCCGTGGCAGGGCCGGGCCTGAGCCCCCGCCTCACGCGGCCCTGGCCGCCCGGCGCCCGCCCGGCTGTGTATTTATAGTCCCCATGATCTATATTAGCTCAGGGCCTGCTCCCGCCTGGGCAGCCTCAGATCTGAGGCCGGCTTTGAACCCGCGGGGGGCTGCGGAACCAGAGCTCCGTCCCATGGGAGGGGGGGACCTGGCTCCTCAGCTGCCCCTTCCCGGCTGCGGGGCTCACGCTGGGCTCTGGGCCTGGAGGATCTTGGCCAGCCTGGGCTGGGCGTGGTCACCCTCTGGTGGGCGCAGCGACTCTGCAGTTTGCTGTGGCGCCGCGCCTTCTTCCCGCCAGCTCTGCAGGGAGACCGGGCGCCTGGCAAGGGCTGCGTGGCCTCTCAAGCCTCAGTTTCCCCATCTGTAGAGCGGGCGGACCCCCACCCGTCCTCCGTGCTGTGAGCTGGGAGTCACTGTGCACACTCACCTCCCTGTGGTCCTTGTCACAAGTGGCCCTGGAGCCTGGGGGACTGGGATGCTGTCTGCATTTGACACCTGAGGCCAGAGAGGCCTGAGGGACGGCCTGGTCACCAGGGCCCGGCTGCCTGGGGCCAGAATCCGCTCCTCCAAGTCTGAATGCGCTCTCTTCCCACGACCCTCCCCAGGGCCCGCGGGGTCCTGGGGGTAGGTGGGGCTCCTCACTCCCTCAGTGTGGCCCCTGCCCCTTGGTGGCCTTGGGGACAGTTCCACTAACTGTGTGCTTCTCTTCCAGAGCAGAGACGACTGGCCACCCTGAGCGCAATTCAATTCAACAGACATTTACTGAGTGCCTACTATGCGCCAGGCCTTAGGCTAGGCACTGGGGGGGGTGCAGAGAGGGGGTCCCGTCCCCAGGGAGTTTGGAGGGGCGTGCAGAGTCAGGCAGGGCTCCCCAGCTCAGCTCAGCATGGAGGAGCGCAGGAGGCTGGAGCCGCAGGGACGGGGCCCAGGGCCTCCCTGGGGACCTCGGGCTTCCCCCCTCGGGAAGTACCGGGAGGAGAGGTGGGCAAGGGGACTTCTAGGACCTCCCAGGACTCCACGGGCCAGGCCCAGGCGGCGGGCAGAGCAGGGAGCCAGCGCTGTGCCTGCACAAGGGACCCCGGAGGCGGCTCCCAGGAGAGAGCTAGGTCTGGGCCCCGGGGGACAGGGACAGGGAGAGAGGACCTCCAGGCCTGGAGGACGTGCAGCTGGGCACCCCTGGGACTTCACAGGGGACGGCGGACCCACGGAGTGAGCTTAGAGAGGGCGAGGGGTGGAGGCCACGTGCTGGGTGCCAGCTCCCTCCGGGGGCAGTGGCAGCCTGGCGGGCTGCGGAGGGACACTCGGGAGCAGGCGGTCCTGCTCGGCCACGCCCTTCTCCTCTCCTGGGCACACTTCTCCGTCTCGCTCCGCAGAGCCTGGCAGTCGAGTGGCTGCCGTGGGGCCTGCGTCCTCACCGAGGCCCCGTCAGGTGGGCGTTAATGGCCCGTCCACCAAGGCTCAGGAAGGGAGGCCACCCCCGCTGCTCCACCACCTCTTGTGGGGGACCTCTCCCTCCAGCCCACCCCAAGCCTGGGGTCGGGGGGCGCAAGGGAAGCACAGCTGGGTCTGGAGGTCGAGGTAGACAGGTCCCCAGAGTCCGCAGCAGGACCCGAGTGTGTGCCCCGTGGCCCTCCGAGGGCGGCCAGGTGGCTCCTTCCCCTGGACAGAGGAGCAGACTGAGGCCGAGGGTCACGTGCTAGTTCAACTCAGGGACAGCAGCCCCGGCTGGGAGCCTGTCTCCTGGACACCCACCTGAGGCTGGAGGGAGGCTCCCGCTCCCGAGCCCTGGGTGGAAGCTGACGTCCACGGCTGTCACCAGGGATGGAAGGGACCGAGTGGCACTGAAGCCCCAGAGCCGGGTTCCCATCCTCACTTCCTCCCGCGTGTGAAGGGAACGAGCCAGGGGTCACCTGAGCCTGGGTTTCTTCACAGGGCGGGTGGCCTGTCCATTCACTCATGAACAGACGTTTATTGGGCACCTACGGGACCTGGTGCTGGGCTGTGGAGAGGCAGGGCCCTGCCCGGGAGGACTCGGTCCAGGGGCGCAGCGGTCAGGGTTCTGGAGGAGATGGAGGAAGGCTGCGGGCGGGGGTGGCCCACAGGGGGACCCTCACCAGGAGAGGGCAGGAGGGGAGAGCAGGGCCAGCTCTGCAGGACCTCAAGGCTGGCTCTGGATGCCCTTGGAATTGTCCCTGGCCAGCAGGGGGTGCCCCTCAGACTGACATTCTAGAAAGCTCTTTCTCTGCTAGATCAGGGGGTGGAGGCCTCGGGATCAGAGGCCCAGAGACCCATGGGGGTGCCGGCAGGGGGAGAGGACCAGGGCAGGAGCAGTGGGCACAGTGGGCACAGAGACTCCCAGGAGTGCTGCTGGGTGCTGGCATGTCCCTTGCTGGGGCCGAGCGGGGAGAGGAGCAGGCAGGTCCGGGGTGGGACGTGGGGACCCTGTTTGAGGGGAGCTCCAGGGGCAGCTGGGCCAGGGGATTTCAGCTTGGGAGGGCGGGAGGCTGTGGGGGGCGAGGGTTGGTGGAGGGCAGAGCCGGGAGCCCCTCAGTCAGGCTGCTGCTTGGGCCCAGAGGGTGGGGAAGACAGGGAGCGCGTCCCCCACCCCGCCAGGGAGCATTGCCCGGGGAAGGTGCCAGGCCTGAGTCCAGCAGAACCCTGTCCAGCCCGAGCAGAGGAGGCCAGGAGGGGACGGTGTCTGTTCGCATGCATAAGGCGGCCGAAGGCAGGGAGAGATGAAAAGGAGTCACCGTTCATCAGGATCTTGTTATTCAACCTAATTTTCAAAGGACCACAGCTGTCGTGCTGAGATAATCCGTTAATTATAACAGCCATTGTGCTTTGGCAGCGGGAGAGACCGAGGCTGGGGACAGGCTGGAGGCAGCAGGCCTCCGCAGGGCCTGGCCTCTGAGAGAGGGCAGGGTCAGAGGCAGAGAGGGGCGCCCTGCCCCCAGGACCGGAGGGTGCCACGCTCAGGGCCAGGTCCCCCCTTTCTTGCTGTCATGGTAAGAGGATGGGCGATGTGGCCCTGCTGTGGGCCCCACAGGGCTGCCCCCTGGCCCTGGGCCGCAGGGTTTGCCAAGCTAACTGAGCAGCTACTACGTGCCAGATCCTGCTCGGCCACTCCTCCCTCTGGCTAGGGCCCCTCTTGTCCCGTTTTATAGGACAGGAAACTGAGGCTCAAAGAAAGGGAACTAACCAGGCCCATGGTCTCAGTTGGGTGAGCTGGACGTGACCCCTGCCCTTCCAGGAGAACATGAGAGAGGACAGGTCCTGTTGGAGGGGCCACCTGAGTTGGTGCAGGTGGGAGCTGTCACATCCCGGCCTCGGGCTCTGCCCAGCCAGCAGTCACCACGGTCACCGTGGCCCTCTTATGCTTCCGGGCCCTGTCCCCCCAGCACGAGGCCCTGACAGAGCCTCCTTGTTCTCTGAGCCGCAGCTGCAGCCCCCACCCCCAGGCTGGCCCGGGTGCCCTTCAGCGGGGCTGGCCACCCCCGCCCGCCCCAGAGAAGCTGGTTTCAGGGCCAGGGGAGGGTAGGGGACCCTCCAGGGCAGCGTCCGTGCTGGCCCAGTGACCACCCAGGAGGAGGAGACAGAAAGTGGGTGGGCTCTGGCCCTGGGCAGGGTTTCTCAGCCTGGCCCAGGGCCTCGAGAGGGTGGGCAAGGGGGTAGCCAGCAGGCCAGGTGAGCGGTGCCCGGGACACTTCGGTACAGGCCCTGTGGAGGAGCCAGGCCTCGGGCCCCCTGGAGTCCCTGCAGCCTTGGCAGGAAGCCTGGGGAGCTGTGTCCAGCAGGGACCCACCTTCACCCCGCAGCCCAGGAGAAACTGCCTGGCCCACCTCATGGCCACCGTAGTGGCCCTGGCTGGGGATTCTTCCCGTGGGCCTGCTCAGAGCCAGGGGGGCGTGGGCAGGTCGGGCCAGCGCCAAGTCCCACAGAGGCCAGGAGTCAACTGGCCTTGAGGTCGGCCCTGGAGCACTTGGACCTGGCTCGTCACAGGGACCCCAGGATGACAAGGTCCAGCCGGAGCTCAGAGTCACCGCCAGGCAGGCCGGGGCTCGGGAAGGAGGCCCTCAGGTCCACCTCGAGGTCCGTCTTGCTGACCTCACAAACCCCTGCCCCCAGGGCCAAGGGGGAGGATGGCCCTGCCTGCTCCGTCCTGCAGGGATGGAGACGGGGACAGCCACGTCCTCCAAGGTCATCGGTGGATTCCAGAAATGGGGCTTTGAAAGATAAACCTCCCGGGTTTTCAGGGGGTCCGTTAGCTCAAAGCGGCTCCCAGTCACCGTCAGGGGGAGCGGGGCCCCACACTCCTGGGCCACGGCCCCTGCGTGGCGGTCGGAGACCCCAGTTTCCTCATCTATAAAGTAGGAACACAAGAGTTGTGGCCCTGGGATCGAGGGACCAGCACCCAGGCCCAGCCCACGACCTCCCACATGCCCGGCCTCTGGCGGGGCCACCTAGCCGGCCACACGGAGGTCACCCCGCCACCCGGAGCCTCCACTTCTCCCCAGGGGGCCCCTAGACACCCGGCTGCTGCCTTGGGCCAGGCCCAGGGTGTGGGAGGCAGGGAGACACCCACTTGGGGACCCTGGAGGAGGAGCAGGCGGTGGAACAGAGCCGGGAGGGTGGGCCTAGCCGGTGCCTGGTACATAGTAGGTGCTCCATAAATGTTTATTGAATGAATGAATGGAGGCCATGCAGGCAGAGGCAGCCGTGGCGCGGGCACTGGTGAAAGCGGGTCCAGTGGAGACTGGTGAGTAGTGCCCAGGGGTGGCCGCCAGCCAGCGGGGGAGGAGAAGGCCATCCGGGAGAGGGCAGGGGTCAGGAGGCGCAGGCAGTGGGCGAGGGTCCTGGGAGGAGAGGCCAGGGCCCAGGGGCGGGAGGCAGCCCCTCCACAGGCTGCAGGGTGGCACCTGGGTGGCACCTGGGTGACCTCGCATGTCCTCCTTGGTGAGGGCAACGAGCCACGGCTGAGCCTGGCGGTGGTGGCCGGGTGCGGATCGGGGTGGGCCCCCCACAGGCTGCGGCGGTGCCCAGCTGAGCCCCAGCCCTGAGCCTTCTCTGGCCACCAGGGCCTGGACGGGGCTCGGCGCTCTCTGTGATGCCCTGGGAGCAGGCAGAGGGGACCCAAGGGTCAGATGAGTCTGGGGGACACAGTGGGCAGTGGACAGAGGCCCTGTGGGCGGCCCTGGCCAGTCAGGGATGCATGTGCACTTCTGCTGTCCTCGGAGCAGATGAGGAAACTGAGGCCCAGAGAGGTGAGGCACCGTTGTGCCAGGGCCACCGTGACAGGCACGGCTGCGTCTCTGACCCTCGAGGGTGCCCTTCCCGCGGTGGGCCACCGTGCGCCGGCCAGCGCCAGGCCCCCACTCTGCTGTGGCTCCGGGTGTGGGGACCCAGGCTCACTCGCTGTGGGTGCCGTCCCTAAGCCCCTCTGGGCAGACGGTGGCTCGGGAGGCGCCCAGCAGTGTGCCCTGAGCACCGGGGACTGTGTGAGGTGGGTGGCCTGTGGCTGCCAGGTGGCATGTCCCCAGGCCAGAGCCAGCTGCTTTCTGGCTCCTAGCCGGGCCTGGTGTCCGGGTCCCCAAGACATGGGTGCAGCCAGAGCCGGTGGGTGCCGAGGCTCGGGGCAGAGCCCAGCTCCCGGGAGCCCCGCAGTAGCCGGCGAGCGGCTGAGGCTAATGGGACGGGATAGAAGTGGGTGGACGCGACCCAGCGCTGGCGAGACCTCGCAGGGGGGCCAGCGCTGCCCAAGGACGCTCTGAGGGCACTGCTGCCTGGCGCTGTGTGTGCAGGGGCCGGGGTGTGGTTGACATCTCGGGCAAGGTCAGGACACCGGCTGGCGCACTGCGCCGCATTCACAGAAGGGGAGCCAGGCTGAGGGAGGCCAGGCTCCCGGGGCAGACCGCGGCTCAGACAGGACACCCTGCGGGGGGGACCTGGGCGGAGAGCCTGGCCCGGCCCGGCTGGACCCCAGGGCGGCGGGGCTTGGCACCATGGCCCAGGGAGAGAAGGCAGAGGACGCGGGCTGTTCAGCTTGGTGAACAGAGTGAGGGGGGTACTGGACAGGGTACTGGCCTTGCTCCTGGTGGCCCGGGACAGCAGGTCAGGACCCCTGAGCACGGAGCCTGTAATGGGTCAGGGCTGTGAGGAGGGATCAGAGCCTCAGAGCTGACAGCCTTGTCCCCGGATGTGGGCCGGGGTGGAGCGTCCTCCAGGGCTCCCACGGTCTGTGGATCTCGGCAGGTCGCTGCCCCTCTCGAGCCTCAGTCCCCTCGTGTGTAAAGAGAGGCGTCCACGGGGGGCGGTAGGGCTCCAGAGAAAGACCAGCACGTTTCCTGACTCACCAGAGGCACCCGTCAGTGGCAGGCTCCTCCCTGGACACTGCACATCCCCCTCGCCCTCGCCCCGAGCGCTCACTCCACACACCGCGTACCCAGCACCCGCTAGATGTTGGACCCTGTTGTCGGCACGAAGTTACAGCAGTGAGCGGGATAAAGTTCTGCTTTGCTTCTGCTCTGGGCATGGAGTAAGGCCGGTGGCCATGGTAAAGACCTAAATGACGTCAGGTAGTGTTGATGGCCGTGGAGGGACCAAAGCCAGGACTGAGAGATGAGTGAGTCATCTCAGGTTTGGTGTGAGAGAAAGTCGGGGTGGGGTGGGAGCACTGGAGCAGAGGCCCCAGTGAGGTGAGGGCTGCGGGGTTGTCGGTGAGGACAGTGTGTGCAAAGGTCCTGAGGTAGGAGCGAGCCTAGGGTTGAGTGCACCCCACCTGGAATAAGTACTTGTGATGGGTGGAGGGATTAGCCCCTGGAGGCTGGTGCACACTTTCCTCTGAGCGGAAGGGAGGTGCCTAGGTACACCCAGGCAGGAAACTCACCAGAGGACCAGAGCATGTGAGCTGGGAGCCCAGCCTTCAGGAGGAAGCTGGGGAAGGACAGAAACCGTTTTGTCGTCTGTAGAAGGAGACTCACAGCCCCCGCCAAGCAGGGTGACGCAGCCTGGAGGCCCATCACCAACGAGCCCCCGGGGAAAGGCTCCCTGCGACTGTTCTGCAGGCGGGAGACCAAGCCCAGAGAGGCCTGTTGCTGTGGCCGCGTCAGGCAGCTCAGCACTCAGTCCCAGCACCTTCGGCCTGACCATCCCTGCTTTTCTTGTCCCCTGCAGCTGGAGCTACCTGCACCTGAAATCCAGGTGGTGACTCGGCCCAGAGCAGTTGAGTAGTGAAGGTGCAGCGTCCTCCTTCCTGTTGAGGGCTGAGGCCGGGAGCCTCCCCAGGAGCCCTGTGGGGGGTCAGTGGGAAGACCCAGCCTGTGGCCGAGGGTGTCCCAGCCTGTGGCCCTGGGCAGCCCAACTCAGGCCTGGCAGAGAGTCGAGGTGGCCATCAGGGTTCTGGCCGGGCCCCAGCTCTCCCTGTCTCCCTATCCTAGGGAGCACATGGACACGGGCGGTGACAGTGGCACCTCAGGAGCCTGGGCCAGGCCCAGGGAGGATGAGGCTTCCCAGGCCCCAGGGTCCTGCTCCTGGGAGTCCAGGCCGTGGACTGCACCTGCCCCAACAGGCCCCCAGGGTCCCACGGGGGCAGGAGTCCAGGGGGCCCATCGGTGGGCCATCTGCCCTGCACGGAGCACCTGTGGCATCCTCCTGCCCTGGAGTGAAGGCAGACGGGCTCAGAGGGGCCCCTGCTGACCTCTGGGGGCAGCTGGACGGCCCACGGGGCTCCAGGTCTGGCTCCGAGGCTCAGGGCTCCGGATCCCCAGAGGGCCCGGAACCTGTGGCACCTGCCAGGCAGGGACAGCCCACCTGGGTCCCCTGAAGACCAGCCCGAGCCGGGAGGGCAGTCCTGTGCCCACGTGGCTCCGACTGTCCCTGGCCTGCCCTGCCCTGCCCCTCGGGCAGCCGCCCTTGCTGGTCTCTCTGGCTCCCCTTCCCGTCTGCAGGTGCCCGCGGAGGCCATCGCAGCTGTCCTGCCCTGGTCTGGCAGTGCCATCTGCCTGAGCTGCCCATGGCCACTTCCCCCACCCAGGCTGCTGCCCCAGGGTGTGGCACCTGGGTGGCCCTGGGCTCCCTGGCAGCTGCTTCCTGTCACCTCCCTCCTCCCTCTCACCGGCCACCGGCTGCATTTTAGGGACTCCGCCTCGTGTCTCCCTGGCCCCAGGAGGGGTGGGCCGCAGGTGCCTGGGTCTCCTCCTTCACACGTGCTTGTCACCTGTCTCCCCGGCTCCCTTCCTCTGGCTCCTGCGCATACCTTCCGGTCCCTCTTGCTGTCTGTCTGCTGGCTGTCTTGTTTTGCTCTGCTCCTTCCCACCTTGCCCCCCGCCCCGCTGCCCCCCAGCCCCAGGTGTGTTCAGCTTCGGGCCCCCCCAGTGCGTGTGTCAGAGGGCCGCTTCATGGAGGGGCGGGAGGGCATGACCTTGCCTGCAGGCCCTGGGGACCTTCCTGACCAGCACCCCTCCCCCGCTGCTCTCGGCACCTCCAGGGGGCACAGCTGGCGGGGGGCTAGGGGCCGCATCAACACCTTTTTGGCCTCGTCCCCCTCTCTGGCTGACTCAGGCCTCACGGGCGGTGGGCAGGCAGCCCAGGGGGGACAGGCTGGCGGACGCACGGGGCGGGACGATGGAGCCTCTCCAGCTCTGAGTCATGGGGCGGGTGGGGGCTGGGCCTGGCCAGGGCCATCCTGGAGACCAGGAAGAGCAGGGGACAGGGTCACCAGCAGGGTCACCTTGAGGGCTCAGGGGCAGAGCTCAGAGTCTGAGCTGGGTGCTGGGGGAGGCCGGGGCAGGACTCGCGGCCTCCTTGGAGCGGTGTGGACGGGGGTGGAGGGGCTCTGGCTGAGCGGGCGGCGCACACAGGCATGCAGGCGCACACATGCTTTGCTGGCTGGCATGAGGGCAGGTGTGTGCACAGTCCGGGGTCCGTGCACACCTCCCCACCCACCCACGCTCTCCTGGGCTGACCACCGCACGCAGGCCTGGTGCACACGCGTGTGCTCCCGCGCCCCTGCCCATCCTGCGTCTGTGCACGTCAGCACGCCCTGCGCCAGTGCTGGAGCAGCCGCGCACCTGCGTGTGCACCTGCATACCAATGCGGTCCCCAGGCGTCCCCAGGCGGGAGGAGGGAGTGCGTGGAGGGCTCTCTGACAGGCGGCTGCTGGGCCCTGAGGCAGCCGGCTTGGGGACTGGCTCCTAGTGCAGCCATGCGCCTGCGGGAGGGGACAGAGACCCGGAGGGGACAGCACGGGTCTGGGGTCCCTGGGGAGCCACACTGTGTGGGAGCAGGTCTCACCAGCCCTGAGACCTTGGTGGGGCCTGGCCAAGGACAGGAAAGCTGTCCACCGCCTGGCACCCCCTTCCTGCCTGGGGGCCTGGTGACACCCTGAGCTGGCCCTGCAGGGGACAGGGGGTGTGAGGTGGCCTCAGATGTCCTGACACAGCACCAGCTGGGACCCTCTGAGCCCCCCTCTGGGCCCTGTGGCCGTCCCCCTCCTGCGGGCCCTGGGCCCAGGCCGTGAGCTGGCTTTGGTGGCGAAGTGTCTTTCCTGAGCTCCTCCTGGTGCTTCCCGGGCAGGAGGCGCAGGGGCCTCTGGCTCAGTCCAGACCTGGTGTCCGTGGCTCGTCTTGACATCCTGGGCCCTGCTGCGCAGAGCGGGGGACGCTGCCTCCAGTCTGGGGCAGAGGGAGCCGGGCCTGGCTGAGGGCTGTGTCCAGCTTGCTGGTGACCTGGCCAGGCCTCCCTGGGCCCGGGCCTCAGTTTCCCCACGTGGAGAGCGAGCGTTGACCCAGACGCCCCAAGGCCGTGGCCCCCAGGTCACCTTCCCGGCCCTTTATGGTGGGCGAGGGCAGCAGGAGTCACCCTGTCCTTCCCTGGTCCAAGAGCTGGGGAGACCCGGGCCCGCTCTCTGGAGGTGGAGATGGAGAGGCCAGGGTCCACTGGCCGGCGAGGCTGCCTGTGGGGGCCCTGGCTGCTGGCCGGGGCTCATGCCTCCGGGACCTTGACCTGGCCGGCCTGTGCTGTGTTACTTGGGGAAAGTCCTTGCCTCTCTGAGCCTCTAGGGCTGTGGCCATGCTGTTCCAGAGGCCTGGGGACCCCCCTTTGGGATCAGGGTGATCTGGAGGGCAGTGGGTGGGTGACCCTGGGCAGGTGTCTGAGTTCCCTGGCTCCTGCCCCCTTCATTGGGCTGGGCTCTGCCTGGAGGGTGGGCCTTCCCCCGTGGAGACCTCCGGCCTCTGATCCCCCTGTGCAGGGGGCGCCACGGCCGCCACAGGCTGCTCCCCTCCCCCACGGAAGCTGAGACAAGGGAATTATTTTTGGAACAAGAGCAGTTACACAACAAATGAATTATTTATCTTTGGGCCTGGAGACGGGAGGCGTTTTGCTGGGCTTCTTAATTCTTTATCCGGATTTGGGGGTGCCCACTTGGGTACGTGCCCTGTGTGTGCGGCCTGTCTGTCGTGGGCACAGATGGCAGGTGTGCTTGTGAGCGTGTGTCCCTGTCCACGTGTGTGTGCCGTGGGGTTCCGGCTCATGTGGGGGTCACTGTGCAGCCGGCAGGTGAGTGTGTGCACCCGGCTGGCGTGCGCGGGAGAGTGGGCCTGTGTCCCCGTCCTGTCCCGGCTCCTCCTCTGTCCTCGGGCCTCAGACTGCCCTGCCGGACCCCGAGTCCCCACCTCCTGCTCTCCGAGGACCCCCTCCCCTTCCTGCCACTCACCAGCCCTCCCTCCCTTGACGTGGTGGGGACCCTGGGTCCTCCTTGTCACGGAGGCCCGGGGAGGGGACCTGCACTGGGGCTCTCGATGGGGCTGGTCTGGGCCCTGGCACTGATCGGTCACCCTCTCGGTGCTGCCTTTCAGGAACCAGGTGACCGATGGGGCGCTTCCCTCCTGACCCCGTCTCTTGCGCCCTTGGTGCCGCTCTCCAGTCTCCCGTGGGGATCTTCTGAAGTTCTGAGCCCAGAGCCCGAGGAGGAAGAGGAGGAGGAGGAGGAGGAGGAGGAGCAAGTCGAGGCTGAGAGCCGTGGTCCTTCCCACCCGGAGACCAGGAGCCGGCCAGTAGCAGGCTCCGGGTGCCCGCACCCTGGCCAGGCCCCGTGCCTGCCGGTAGCTCCCCGGCCCAGCTGTTGGCACCCGCCGTGCCCACCCTGCCTGGGGCCCCCACGCTGGGGGTCGCCCCCAAGATGGTGGCGGCCCCCGGGAGGACTGTGCCGCCAGCCCCAGCTTCTGGCCGCTAGGCACCCCCCGCTTGGCCCTCCGCTCAGCCCGCCGAGGCCCGCGCCATGCTGCGCCTGGGGCTGTGCGCGGCCGCGCTGCTGTGCGTGTGCGGGCCGGGGGCGGTGCGCGCCGACTGCTGGCTCATCGAGGGGGACAAGGGCTACGTGTGGCTGGCCATCTGCAGCCAGAACCAGCCGCCCTACGAGACCATCCCGCAGCACATCAACAGCACGGTGCACGACCTGCGGCTCAACGAGAACAAGCTCAAGGCCGTGCTCTACTCCTCGCTCAACCGCTTCGGGAACCTCACCGACCTCAACCTGACCAAGAACGAGATCTCCTACATCGAGGACGGCGCCTTCCTGGGCCAGTCCAGCCTGCAGGTGCTGCAGCTGGGCTACAACCGGCTGAGCAACCTGACCGAGGGCATGCTGCGCGGCATGGGCCGCCTGCAGTTCCTCTTCGTGCAGCACAACCTCATCGAGGTGGTGACGCCCACCGCCTTCTCCGAGTGCCCGAGCCTCATCAGCATCGACCTGTCCTCCAACCGCCTCAGCCGCCTGGACGGCGCCACCTTCGCCAGCCTGGCCAGCCTGATGGTGTGCGAGCTGGCCGGCAACCCCTTCAACTGCGAGTGCGACCTTTTCGGCTTCCTGGCCTGGCTCGTCGTCTTCAACAACGTCACCAAGAACTACGACCGGCTGCAGTGCGAGTCGCCCAGGGAGTTCGCGGGCTACCCGCTGCTCGTGCCCCGGCCCTACCACAGCCTCAACGCCATCACCGTCCTGCAGGCCAAGTGCCGCAACGGCTCGCTGCCCGCCCGGCCCCAGAGCCACCCCACGCCCTACTCCACCGACGCCCAGAGGGAGCCGGACGAGAACTCGGGCTTCAACCCGGACGAGATCCTCTCGGTGGAGCCGCCGGCCTCGTCCACCACGGACGCCTCCGCGGGGCCCGCCATCAAGCTGCACCACGTCACCTTCACCTCGGCCACCCTGGTGGTCATCATCCCGCACCCCTACAGCAAGATGTACGTCCTGGTCCAGTACAACAGCAGCTACTTCTCGGACGTCATGACGCTCAAGAACAAGAAGGAGATCGTGACGCTGGACAAGCTGCGGGCACACACCGAGTACACCTTCTGCGTGACCTCGCTGCGCAACAGCCGCCGCTTCAACCACACCTGCCTGACCTTCACCACGAGGGACCCGGTGCCCGGGGACCTGGCGCCCAGCACCTCCACCACCACCCACTACATCATGACCATCCTGGGCTGCCTCTTTGGCATGGTCATCGTGCTGGGCGCCGTGTACTACTGCCTGCGCAGGCGGCGCCTGCAGGAGGAGAAGCAGAAGTCCGTCAACGTCAAGAAGACCATCCTGGAGATGCGCTACGGGGCCGACGTGGACGCCGGCTCCATCGTCCACGCCGCCCAGAAGCTGGGCGAGCCCCCCGTGCTGCCCGTGGCCCGCATGTCCTCCATCCCCTCCATGATCGGAGAGAAGCTGCCTGCCTCCAAGGGGCTGGAGGCCGGGCTGGACACACCCAAGGTGGCCACCAAAGGCAACTATATCGAGGTGCGCACAGGTGCAGGGGGGGACGGCCTGGCCCGGCCAGAGGATGACCTCCCGGAGCTGGAAAACGGCCAGGGCTCGGCCGCCGAGATCTCCACCATCGCCAAGGAGGTGGACAAGGTCAACCAGATCATCAACAACTGCATCGATGCCCTCAAGCTGGACTCGGCCTCTTTCCTGGGGGCTGGCAGTGGTGGCGGGGACCCTGAGCTGGCCTTCGAGTGCCAGTCCCTCCCTCCAGCCGCCACCACCTCCACGGCCACTGCCCCCGGGGCGCTGGAGCGGCCCAGCTTCCTCTCTCCCCCCTACAAGGAGAGCTCCCACCACCCGCTGCAGCGCCAGCTCAGCGCGGACGCCGCCGTCACCCGCAAGACCTGCAGCGTGTCGTCCAGCGGCTCCATCAAGAGCGCCAAAGTCTTCAGCCTGGACGTGCCGGACCACCCGGCCGCCCCGGGGCTGGCCAAGGGCGACTCCAAGTACATCGAGAAGGGCAGCCCCCTCAACAGCCCGCTGGACCGGCTCCCGCTGGTGCCCGCGGGCAGCGGCGGGAGCAGTGGCGGGGGCGGGGGCATCCACCACCTGGAGGTGAAGCCCGCCTACCACTGCAGCGAGCACCGGCACAGCTTCCCCGCCCTCTACTACGAGGAGGGCGCCGACAGCCTGAGCCAGCGCGTGTCCTTCCTCAAGCCGCTGACCCGCTCCAAGCGCGACTCCACCTACTCCCAGCTGTCCCCCAGACACTACTACTCAGGGTACTCCTCCAGCCCCGAGTACTCGTCCGAGAGCACGCACAAGATCTGGGAGCGCTTCCGGCCCTACAAGAAGCACCACCGCGAGGAGGTGTACATGGCCGCCGGCCACGCCCTGCGCAAGAAGGTCCAGTTCGCCAAGGACGAGGACCTGCACGACATCCTGGATTACTGGAAGGGGGTCTCGGCCCAGCAGAAGCTGTGACCCTCTCCTCCCTGGTGAGGCTGCAGGGGGAGGGCCAGGGCGCTCCGGGGGAGGGCCCCGGGGGCCGGGCGGGCAGGGGCGGACGGCCCAGGCGGAGGAGTGGACGCACACGCACACCCGCACGCACGCACCACGCACACACCTGACCACCACCTGACTGTGAACCCACCAACACCGACAATAACGGACAGGAAAACAAGACACATTTTCCTTAAAGTTTACAAACTGATACCGAAATCAGTCGTCTTTACTGTGCTGCCCAGGGACGCTGCCGGGCGTGCGGGGCTGGGCCAGGGCCAGGCGAGGAGGCCAGAGGAGAGCGGGGACGGGGGCCAGGCGCGGGACTGGGGGAGAGGAGACTGGGAAGACACGGACGGAAGCCCCTCTGGGGCAGGGAGGGCCACCTCCCGAGCTCGGGGACAGGTCACTTGGAGGTGTGGCACTAGGTGGACCTGGGTGCCATTTCCCTCCACTTCATGGATGGCCCAAAGAGCAAGGAGATGACCCTGGGGTCATGTGGCAGGTCAGACTCAGTCTCCCGGCTTCCTGGCCCAGGCCGTTCCCCCCAGCCACACCCCGGGGACCCCAGTCCACCAACACCCTTCCAAAGCCGTCAGCGCCTGTGACCGAGGGGCTGGAGAACCAGGAAGGTGCTTTCGGAAGTCCCCTCAGGGCACGGGGCTGAGCGGAGCAGAGCAAGGGGACAAGCCACCACCCCTTCAAGTGTCTTCCAAGTCGCCAGGGGAGCTGCCTGGGGAGGGCGCTGGGTGGGCCAGCTCCCATGGCGTCTCAGGTGCAGGCCCCACACCCCTGGCCCCAGCCTCTCTGGGCCTCCGGGACCCCTGTCCACCCCGGAGGAGCAGCAGTGAACTGTGACACTCGGGGACAGCGGGGAGGCGGAGGGGGGCTTCCCGCCTGCTCCCTGCATCCTGCACCCCCCTGCCTGACCCCCACCACGGGTCTCAGGGCAGAGACTCAGCCTACCCAGAGGAGGGAGGAAGGAGGGCCCCCCCACTTGCCCCATCTCTCAGCCTGGGGGGGGGGGCCCATGTTACCATGGAAATGGCCACTCCCCTTCTGACCCCCACCCAACATCGAACAAAGCACAAACAGCGAGGTCCCCCCACCACCCTGGGGTGGGGGGGAGCAGGCTGGGTCCACGGCCCCTCCCCCCGCTAGCCCGTCTCCGTGGCAACCGGGTGCCTGGCAGTTGGTGCCCAGAGCAGACCGTGGGGCTCTGGGGGCTGAGTGTGGGCGGCAGCAGAGCGGGAGGGAGGGCCGGGCAGGGGCCGCCCCTCTCAAGAGCCAGGGCCTTCCCAGGACAAGCTGTGGGCGCGGTCCTGAGACCGAGGCTGGCCCCTGGAGGTGGAGGAGGGCTGGGGGGCCGGGGTGGCGAGGGGCCCTGTCATCTCCCCCCTCGCCCCTGCCAGAGACCCCCAGATCTGGCTTGTCACCCACTCGGGCTTCTTGAGACTGGGGGTGTGATGGTGGCCAGGGACAAAGGCCTGTGCTGTGGGGGAGGGGCTCTGACCGGGAAGGCCACTCTCCCTGGGGGCTCCACCCACCCCCTGCTGGGGGGCTTGGGAAAGACCAGGGGGCTCAGCTGACCTCCTCTGTCACATCACCTTCGGGGGTGGGCTGAGCCCAGAGCTCACTTTGGGGGTGACATTGGCAAAGAAAAGACTGTTCTCCTGGGGAGAAGAGGGGGTGGGCCGGCATGGAAACGCAGGCGCAGACCCCCAGCCCCGAGCTCGCCCCCAGCCCTCCTCACACCCGTTGGCAGAGCCGAGCGAGCGGAGGGCGGCGGGAAGCAGGCTCCCTGTTACACTGCATGACGATTTTACTGTATTTTTCTGAGCAAACATCTGTTGTGTATGTGCCAGTTTGTCCCGTTGCCCCCCCCCCCAGTCCCTCCATCGGGATCTGAGCAGCTCTTGAAACCCAGGGAGGGCCAGCTCTGCAGGAGACCCAAAACAGGTGCCACCCAAGCCCAGCCCTGCCCCACACCCACCTCCCATCCCTCGCCCACAAGTGCCACCTCCCCCCGCCCCCTCCCCTGGCCCCGCCCATCCTTCCTGCCCCAGGGCCTTTCCTCAGCTTCTCCAGGAAGAGAACCTCTGACCCTGGAGAGGTGCCAGGACAGGCGGCCCAGGCACAGGGCTCCATGGAGAGGCTGGGGGCCAGAGGGAGGAGCCTGGGAGGGAGGGAGGGAGCGGCCGGCAGCTTGGCCATCAGTCCTGGGGGGCCATGACCTCTAAGACCGACTCCCATCTCCACAGCAGGACCCTGGCTCCAGGAGGTGACATGACCTTGGAGACCCACGGGACACTGTTCTCTGAGGCAGAGCAGGGCCTCAGGGGCAGGTCTGGTCCCCCAGCTGCCAGGCCCGACCCGTGGGGAGGAGCCCACCGGAGGCCCCTGCCTGAAATATTTACAAAAGACAAATGACCCTTCATTCCAGGAGCCTGGCCGAGGGCCCTGCTTATCATGACGATGGTCAGGGGCCACGAGGGGACAGGCGGGGTGGCGCTGGGAGGGGGAGGGGCGTGGAAGGAAAGGGGGCCAGTGGATCTTCCCGCCTGGAGCCCCAGTGAGGTCACCCTGGGTCCCCTGACCTGGGAACCACCTGTGACTCCTTCCCCAGGACGGGACCAGAGGTGCCCTCTGTCCTGAGGTCACGGCAGGCACTGCCACCTCTGTTGCAGCTAATGACCTCCCAGAAATGAGAAGCAGTCACCTGGCCAGAAGAGATGAGTCTGTGGACACCACCTCCGGGGCCCAGGCCAGGGTCTTCCCGCTTGGGAAGAGTCCCTCTCTGTCCCCCAGAAGTGCCATGCTCTGTGGCCCTCCTGGAGGAGGGGGCACAGGACCGGGAGCTGATGTGTCAGGCAGGGGCCCTGTCTGGGGAGATATGGGGGGCCCTGGAGAGGCCCTGGGCAGGGGTGAAGGCCAGCATGGCCGAGGCTCCTGGTGTCCCCGTCCGAGGTGGCTTGTGCCCACTCTGGGGGAAGCAGAAGCACAGGAAACCCAGTGGGAGGAGCCAAAGAGAGGGGCCAGGAAGGGGCCAGACGGGGACGCAGGGACAGGAGCCCCTTCCTGAGAGGCCCAGACACAGTGAAGGGACAGACGGAAAGTGCTTCCCGAAGGTGGCTTCATGCAAAGAGTTAACCGAGGGCGATGGAGGGGAGGGACGGGGTCCCTTGTCCCTTGGAGGAGGTGACGGGCAGTCAGACCCGACCTGACAGGGGACCCAGTGGCTGTGAGGAGGGGCTGGTGGCTTCTTGAAGCCCCTCCTTGGGCCACCCCACCAGCCTGCCCTGGTTGGTTCCCAGGCTGAGGATGGTGGGGCAGGGCAGGGCATCTCTGGCGTCTGACCCACCAAGGCCAGGGCCAAGGTAGGGCCCCCACGGCGTGTCCAGTCCCTCCCACGGTCCTGCTCTCCGCCCCCCTCAGCCCCCACGCTCACGTCCATCCCGCCACGCCCCCTCCCGAGCCCCCCCAACCCGGGGACAGCATCCGTCTCTCCACCTCTTGTCTCAGTGTCCCTCGTGTGGCCAGTCACTCCTGCGGAGCCGAGCCGCAGGGAGGGGAAGAGGGGTCCGTGGGGGCGGGGCCTGGCCTCCTCTCCCCCCAACCCCGTTTCTCTGCCAGACAAGCACAGGGCGGGGCAGGGCTCCGAGCAGGGGCCGCGGCCCCGGGGCTGTGGCCTGGCACCTGGTTTGAGCCCTGCAGAGCTGGGCTCGAGTGGCCTCGGACCTGGGAGCCCAGCTGTGGACGGACCCTCCCTCCCTCCGGGGCCTGGAACTCTCTCCTTTTCTTCTTTTGGGGGGCAACTTCATTTACTTTCTCCTCCCTCCATCTGCCCCCCATCTCCTGTTTTAAACTGAATGGCACGAAACCGTTTTCCTCAACTCGGAGATTCCTGTATGGAGAGAACCAATTTCTATATTTGCAATAAATTTCTTATTTAAAACAGTGGGGTCGAGGCTCGTGTTGAATGTGCCCGCGCTCGACGCCCAGTGCCCCCAGTTCCTGTGCCCTTCCCACCTCCTCTCCTCACCTGCAGCCCTGCCCTCGGGGGTTAGGGATGGGCCAACTGGACGGGTCATCGCCGCCCAAGGTCAAGGGAAGAAGATGCAGGGAGGCGTGCTCCCAGTGCTCCCTGAGTCTGGTGGCTGGTACCCAGGAGGCCTGCGGGGACGCCTGGACACCCTGGGCCCTGTGTCCTCAGGCTCCTCCTGGCCACCTTCACCCTGGATGCAGGCCCGTGTAGACCCCCTGGGGAGACAAAGCTGCCCCAGTCAATGACCGCAGGCCTGCTCCTGCCATGGTGGGTCCAGGTCCCTGTGGGACCCCTGGGCCACCTCCAGGCCTGGCCTGGGCACCTGCCCGGGTGCCCTCTGCCATCTACTGGCCTCTTCCTCACAGCTCTCGGCCTCTGCTGCTTCAGGAGTCGGGGGCTACTGTGTCTGAGGTCACCATCCAGTGGCCGCAGGTTCACACCGAGGCTCTGGAGCCCTGGGCTCAGCCTCAGCCCCCGCCCTCTCCTCAGAGCCCCCTCCTCCAGCTCTGCACCCCTCCTCCATGAAGGCCCTGGCTGGGCCTGCGGTGCCAGGGTTGGGCCCCACGGCTCCCTGGGCTGCGCTGGCCCCCGGAAGGCATCCCAGGCCACTTAGCCACTTGGACCCTGGGGGGCAGGAGCGGTAGCCCCAGGGCCTGCCCTGTTTCCTTCACTGGAGTTGGTAGCACCTTGGGGACCTTGGGGGAGGGCCAGAGGCTGAGGCCCCCTCCCTCCCCGCTGGGCCTCCGCTGGCCTGGGCCTCCTCCAGGGCCCTGCACAACCTGACGGCCACTCCCGGTGGCTGGCGCAGGCCGGTGCCGCCTTCCTGAGCCTCAAGGTCACCCCGAGGGCCTGAACCTGGCCTGGCTGTGGGGCGCTCCCGTGCCTCCCTGAGACCTCTCTCTTACAGTCCCCTCTGTCCTGGGAGGTCCTCAATCCTGCTCCCTGGCCACCAGGGGGGTGTCCCGCACCCGAGAGGAGTGTTCTTCAGGGTCTCCCTGGAGGGGGTCGGTGAGCCTGGCCCTTCCTCCCCAGAGCTCTGGACCACAGGCCGCCTGGCCTCCCGGGCTGTCTGCAGCACCTCCGTGTGGGCCTGAGCAGGGGCAGCAGGAGCCAGCCCGGGTCAGCGCCCCCGCACCCTGGTGCTCTGACCACTCTGCTCTCCCCTCACACCTCCACCTGCCGCCCCTCATGTCCACCCTTCTCCCTCCTGAGGCCTGTGGCCCTGGCCAGCCGGCTGCTGTGCCCTCGGGTCAGTACCCAGTCAGCCGTGCCCTCCCCTCCAGCCCCCTCTCCCCGTGACCTGGAGTCCCCAGGCTGAACCCCCTCAGGGTCTCCTCTAAAATGGCCTTCTCCAGCGTCCCCGTCCGCTGCCCTTGGTCCTGACGGTGTCTGCCAACCGTGGGACCATGTCGCAGGACCCTGTGGGAAGTCAGGTCTCCTGAGCTCCCCCAGGAACTGCCCCTCCCCCTCACCTACCTGTGCCCGGGGCCGGGCCACCCCACTGCCAGGCCCAGGAGCTGACCCTTGCAGATAGGGGAATTCTGTCCAGCTGACTTCAGCAGGGAGGGACGCAGGGAGGACAGTGGCGGGCAGGACTGCTGGGAGGCCAACACCTAAGTCACAGGGAACCCCTCGGGCCAGAGGAGGCTACTGCCCCGTGGTCCACCCGATGGCAGGCACTGAGTGGCCGGGGGCCACGGTTCCTCAGCTGGACAGAGCGAGGAGGCAGAGGGCGCAGAGGTGGAGGCACACTTCCCCCCGTCCCCTGCTCAGTCTCTCAGAAGACACGTGACCTGCAGAGACAGAACTGCCCGTGACCCTGGGCCTCCGAGGCTCCTGGCAGGGTGGGCCTGGCTCTGGAGCCCCCATGGGGCAGGTGGCTGGTGCCCGGCATCAGCACACGAGGAAGTAGCCTGCAAAGCAGGCACCTTGGCTCTGTTTCTGAGGAACAGGATCAGAGAGGGTGAACCATCCCCTAAGGTGGCACAGCCGGTCAAGGACAGGCCTGGGAGGGACCCTGCCCATTTCACCCCAAGCTTCACCTGACCTTCCCACCAGGCCAGGATGGGGGCCGGGTCCCAGGGAGGGCTCTGTGCAGCGTCCTACCTGGAGACCAGGCCAGCAGTGACAGCCCTGAGCCTTGGACGCCGATGGCAATCTTCAAGCCCTGGGAGGCCCGTCCTGACCCTTGCTGCTGGAATTCTGGTTATTTCTGCGATTTCCAGATCTTTCATTTAGAGCAGGAATAACGAGGCCGGGGAATCGGGGTGGGCAGCCTCCCAGGTGGTGGGGAGCTGGCCAGGCCATCCAGATAGTGCTCCAGAGAGTGACCGACCAGCGATGGGGGACAGGATGCGGGTGGCACTGGGGTCAGCAGGGCCCTGGTCAAGCTGGGCTCCTAAGAAGGGGCTGACCCAGCCCCTCCCTGGGCCCTGAGGCTGGGTGCCCACCACATACCCATTTGGGTTGTGCTATGAGTACCCGGGACCCCAGGGTCGTCACTGGTTGGCCCCTGACCTGCCTTCGGGGCCTGTGCCACGGTGTGGACATCCCTCGGCAGGAAGCTGGCCAAGGGGCGGCTGTGGGGCAGGTGCAGAGGGACCGTGGGGTCGTGTGCGTTCACGTGCCCCTGCAGTTTGGGACAGCGCTGGGCGGGAGAAGAGTCGGGTGTGCCGTGGGCCCGGTGGGGTCTCGCCGTCCTGGGCCACCAGCTCTCCCTGGGTCCACGCCAAGGTCCACGTGACCAACAGTCCTAAGGGTTTGTTAGCCCATTCCTAAGCTTCCAACACTCAGCTGGATGGCATGTGAGCTGTCCAGGCCTGGCCACCTCAGGGGTGGACCTGGGCTCGGGGATAAGGGAACCCGCGGGTGGCGGGCAGACGGCGGGATGAGCCCACTCTTCGGGGGATAAGTCTCCGGAGATGATGCTGGAAGAGGGCACGGTTTGGCTTTTTAGCGTCTGGGCAGGACCAGGGACATCGACAGCTGCCACTCACCACCCCTGGGGGTTCCTGAGCTCCGGCTCGGGCCTGGTGGCCACGCTGCGGGTGGATGGGAGTGGCCCGTGGACCTCCCCAGGGACCATGCTGTGCCCGGCCCTGAGCCTGCAGGCAGAGGGGTGGCCTGCATCTGGAGGCAGCACCCAGGGGAGGCCAGGTCTCTTGGCCTCCAGCCCTGGGGTGTGCACCAGGCAACGAAGGCACCACAGACGCCGAGGGACACAGGCAGGGCCAGCTGCAGGGTCCCCCATCCCCGCTCCACACACGCGGCCAGGCGAGCCTCTCCACCCCACAAGGCTGGGCCTCTCCCAGGCCAAGGCACCAGCCCAGGGCCGGGCTGAGCACCAGGGGGACTGGAGAGGGCCACTCGGGCTGGGAGGGCTCCCTGGGCCCAGAGCCTCAGTGTCCACCTCTGGGAAGTGGAGCCACCTGGGCCCAGCCCTCCTGGGACCCCAGGCTGGGCAGCGGGCATGGGGAGGTGGGCACCAGGATCCAGGCCAGGAGCCCTGCCAGCCACAGCCACCTGCCCTCTCCGGCCACCAGCCCTGGGCCAGGGCCCCGCACACCGTCCTCACTGCCCGGAGCTCAGCCTGGCCTGTGGCCGGTGCAGGGCCGCTGGCTTCCCCCGGGGTCTTCCAGAGGAAGGACAGGGCACAGGAGTGCCCACTTAGTGGCTCTGCTCCAGCGCCTCCCGGTCTCCAAACACCAGCCGCAGGCCGAGGGCCCAGCTCCGGCCCCACCCCAGGCCCCAGAGCCCCGCCTCCTGTCCCTCAGGAGGGACCCGCAGTGGAGCCAGGGCGGGGTCTTCCTGGCTGGGCGGCAGGCTCCCCTCCCCCTCTGGGTCCCGTGGACCCCTTCACCTGGGTGGCCGCAGCCTCCACTGGCCTCTCTGCCTCCGTCCTGGACACAGTTGTTCTCCACGTGGCAGCCAGAGCGACCTTTGTGGGCACAGCGGGCACGGCGGGCACCGCGGCACCCCGTCCTGCCCTCCGGCCCCTTCCCCTGGGCCAGGAAGGCCCTGTTCCCTCCCAGGCCCCCAGCCCTGGTACCTGCTGGGGTCCCCGCCCGTTTCTCCCCTCCCCCGCCCTCGCGGAGCCCCCATTGGCTTCCCGCGGGTCTCCCCCAGGTCAAGGACCTCCCCCCAGCACTGGCCGCGTGTGTCCTGTGCCATCGCGGCCCGGCTCACCCTTGCTAGTGACTGGTTCAAGAAGGCCCTGCGACCCGTCCCTCCCAGCGAGCAGACACAGCCCTGGGCTTTGGGGGAAGGGACAGAGGCCTTCCTCTGGATGTCACTGTCACCTGGCGTGGGGGGGATGGGGGTGGGGTGCAGATTCCTGTGATCCTTGCATCGAGGAGAGACTGGGGTGGCTCAAGGGAGGAGAACGGAGCCAAGAGGCCTGGGCCCACCTGTGGGGTGGTGTCTCTGCTTGAACTCATTCAGGTGGGGGTTGTGGATGTCACTCGGATTCCTGGAGGCTGTGGCAGGCTTGGGCCCAGGGAAGTCACTGAGTGACAAAGCTATTTCTAGGGTGGATGCAGCCATGGCCACATTAATAGGAGCATAGGGTCTGGGCACAGGAGGTGAGGGTTCTGTGCCGACTGCACCCAGAGAGGCCATGGTCAATGCAGAGTGACTCTCCATGGCGGAGAGGACTCGTGCCCTCAGCAGAGCACGCCACCACGGAGAAGGGCCTGGAACCCTGTCACAGGGAAGAGTGGGGTCGTCTGGCCTGGCTGAGCGCAGGCTCTGGAGCGACATTCATTAGTTGTCTCCTGCTGAATGCAGGAGAGTGACGGTGCTCGGGCTGCCCAGGGGCCAAGGGGAGTGAGCGACAGCAGGAGGACCGGCTGCCGACTGTGGGACGAGCTCCGACCTCGGGGTGTCCCTGTCCCCAGGGACTTGGCAAGACACAC